ACCCGGAAAGTATACGGCATGATATTTGGAAACCCTAAGTACGAGGACGACTGCAGGTTAAGTTCAAAATTATTCGGAAATTAAAATTGCTCTTTTTGAATCCTAGAAGTGCTTTTTACTATTGCACGAAATCCAAATAAAACCCAGTTTTCTACCAAATGAGTGCAAAAAAGAATATTACTATGCGCCTTTTGTTTAAAATATGTTTAAAATAACAAGGGCGCGAACATGAATGTGAAACATGCATGCTACCTAAAAATCCATCTTATATCGGGTGTGGTTATTACGGTCGGCCGGACTGGTGCACATTCAAACGCTGACGTCCTGTCGTGACTTAAATGTCTTGGGATTATGCTACATGATGGCCATTATTACAGAACCACCTAAGTAATCCTTTCTGATGAAAAACGCATTTTGGAATTTCGGTTAACAATCCACGAGAAAGACTAGCCGCTATATAATTTGTCAGTTGGTGGAAGACGGAAATAAATACTCTTATCGCAAGTGGCTTTGCGTTGTGGTACAGTAGGTTAGGGTAGGGGTTATCGATAGGGTTAGGGATAAGGGCTAAAGGTAGGACTAGGATTTGGACACGAGAACAGATATTTCCCTGGAATTTAGCTTAACCATCTGTTACACGGAGAAGGCACCTATTTTAGTGTCCGACCTTCCAATATTCCTTATGAACCTGCTTGTAAACCTACGCAACGAAATTGCGTATCTATTTGCAAAGAAGACTAAGTTGTGATTGGCACCTTCAGTGGGTGAGGTGTCTTACGAAGAATTAACTGAAATTCCGAAATATGCTCTCAGTCAAAAAAAGATTACTTAGGTAGGACTGTAGTGCTATTGTCACTCTGGTATAAGTGGTAATTCCGACCTACTGTCGCCCGGAGTGCTTGTCGTTCCCCTCATTTAGCCCTGCCTAGCCAGGCCCAGTTGAGGCTATATTGTCTGTATTTCTACACGAAACCATCATTTACTACCGAACGTGTGCAATCAAGGATATTTTAGTGCATACTTTCTATAAAACATATTTTACTTTATGGGGGCATTGAAAAGCAGTAATTTTTTGCGAGTGTGACTTTTGCGGGCCGTAGCAAAGAAATTATTGCTTTTGTATTTCCTCAGAAATTAACTGCTAATTTGGAGTAGATCAGTAAATACTAAGGTCTGTAGGCGCTGCTTCCTTATTTTCTAAACACTTTCTAAATTGGAATGTCTACCAGAATGCAGACGGGGAATGCTGGAAGACCCACTGATGTGCCCAACCCCCCTCAGCTGTGCCATACAGCGGCAGAATATCAGCGAAACACGCGTGTCTGGACTGTTAGCTCGCACCCGTGCTGCTAATATGGTTTCTTCTAACGATAAAAGATAGTAAAGAAATGCATTCAAAAACCGACGTCCTGGTGCGATCGAAATACCCTGGGGATTATGCTGCTTGGTATTCAATATAACAATCCCACCTAAGTTATTATTTTTAACCGAAATCATGTATCAGAATTCCAGTCACCGTTTCATAAGATACGCCCCCAGCCATATGTAAACGTTTGTCCTAAGTCTCAAAAGATGCCCCTTCTTACGCTTAACACTAGTACCACCCCACACGAAACTTCGTCTTTCAGGTAGGCGTGGCTTTTATCGATATGCTTTGTTTTCGTGACAGAATGAGGGGGCACTGTCTTATCCAGGACTGTACAGCTGGTGATGAAAGGTGCCGAAAATTACGAATGATTGCTAATCACTCTCAACCCGACACCAATGCATGGACCCATTATCCATATTAATAAATAACAACTCCAAGGTACTTAAAAATATAAAAGAAATACTAAAATTGATGTTACGTTGTTTAGAAATGACACTTTTTTGGAAACGCGAAAAGTTCTGAAAACTTTAGTTTTTGATGTTCAGAAAGCCTGTCCATGCATGACACTGAGTAAGTATGACAGCACGAATAGAATAGCTTCTGAAAATGACATTTTAATGAAGTTTACATCTGAATATCCTTTAAGAATTAGTGCAATTTCAGGTATGACTGTTTGTCATCAGCCTACATCCTCAGTACAGATTCGAAACCAGACTCTCGAAGATTCGTTGTATTCTTTGACCTGATTGAAATTCGGTTCAATAAGGCACACAGGATTTTACCTGATTTCGCCGATAGAACATCATAGGAAAAAAGTTTTCATAAGGACATATGTCGCCAGGCGGGTCAGTTACTAATAAATTTAAATAGAATTGACAGATGTTATCGCAAACATACTATTTTTTGTATACGACATGGACCTTTTTCCCGTAAAATTTATTTGCACTACGTTTTTTTCTGAATTACTTTGTGCTTAAGATCAGTCATGAGATATCGCTGAATACTTCATGACTTCCAGTGCTTTCAATCTACTGCCCATTAAAACAAATTCTGTATTATGTATTTGTTAAAACATTTAAAATAAGATACCTTTTGCAGGTATCTGCCCCAGCAACGAGTGTTTAGGCGTTCGTTGTCATGTAGGAGGTCGTTTGGTCACATTTGAAAGCTCATCCAAATACGAAACCTTATGGGCAAAAATGAACGCCCATAACAAGGTCAGCAACGAACATGCTTCCTTTTTAAGTAGCGCTTTGCTATTGGATTCCATTGATGGATTTCTGTGGACTGTGCACTTCTACGCGGTAAAGCCGAAAGACATTTGACGCTTTTGGCCGTTTCTTTCGCGTTGCTCATTGAACTTGCAAATTATGTATATGCAGTAAGTAGACCGCACGAAAAGTTAGGTTTCAAAACTGAAAATGACTTTTTCAGTGTCAAAACATAGAATTTTCCTAATGGTAAAACAATTTCGATCTTTCTAAACGAAGGATTACCTGTGGGCGTTATTATTGCACTCCAGGACACAGAATCGCACAGATTCGCTGATCTGGCGTTTAAAAATCGATAAAACTGTTGGGTTCCATCCTGTGTGTTAGCAAACTAATTTCCACGGTTTGCTTCGCACGGAAAATCAATTTTTAAGTGCGGCAAGCTCTGTTTAGTAAAACTCGAGAGTAACTTACTCTTCTGTCAAAGATAAACACTCTTAGATGCGCAACCGACGTCTACGACAGGTATTAGCTTAAAAAAATATCCCATAAGTATAAAAACGTCCATTTGCACTCAAGTTTATGAACATTTTGCTTGAAAAAATTGCGTGCACACATTTTTTGCACAAGAAAAGGACATTTCCTTGAAGTGGCTGAACGATCGAGCAAAATGCCTAACGTCTAAGGCGTCCGAAAATCCTTTCATCGGTTTCCGTCATCAGGTATTATGAGATAGGTCACCTACCGTAGGTCTACAGCCCTCGTAGGCGGTCGCATACCGACTAACAGCAAATAGAGTCTGAATTAGCAACTGTGGCTTATTAACCATCGCCACTTTACCATATCATAGCCATGGTTGAGCATTTCTGAAGTTTGAATCCGGAATCAACTGTCGCACTTGACCTGGGGCCTCAATTGTGCTGGAAATCACCTTCACCTGTGCTTTTACTCCCAGGAACTAAATACCTAGTGTTGAGTTATGACTCTAACAACGGCAACTGGCTCAAAAGTAGTAATTACAGTCCTTATTGGTTTCGCCGCAATACCTCTTCTGGTATGCTTCCTTGTTTGGAAGTAGAGACTGAGGAGGGCTGAGATGGGCAGTTCGAGGGCGGCTTTGATCTGTTTCACACCCAGTTCTGCCTGCTGGCGTAAACTGAGCTGGATGCCGCCGTTCGCGTAGGCTACTGAGGGGGGGGGAGGGAACTTAAGTGACACTTAATCACCCGATCGCTGCGCGCAGCTAGCCTGGCAAGTGCGTGGTCGTTGCAATGACAGCAATGTCTCAAAACCCACCGCCACTACTGCGGCTATTAGCGATGCTGCTGCACACGCTGGAACAGTGGGCTGGAGTAGCGGTTAACTTTGGATGAGAGCTTGCCAGCGGCGGAAGCCTTTGAGGATGCTTGCGGTTTAGACTGGAAAATATTCTAAAATTTTGTGTGCCCTACAGCGAGTTATGCAACAGAACAGAGACGACTTAAGCAGCAGCAGCAGCAGCAGCAGCAGCAGCAGCAGCAGCAGCAGCAGCAGCAGCAGCAGCAGCAGCAGCAGCAGCAGCAGCAGCAGCAGCAGCAGCAGCAGCAGCAGCAGCAGCAGCAGCAGCAGCAGCAGCAGCAGCAACAACAACAACAACAACAACAACAGCAGCAGCAAAAGAAAAATAAACAGCAAAATTAGCCCCACCGTCATAACACCACTTCCGGCACCACCACCACCACCACCACCACCACCACCACCACCACCACCACCACCACCACCACCACCACCACCACCACAATAATAATAATCGTCATCCCCATTAGCATCTGTGACTTATTACGGATCGGAGTAAACGTTTCCGGACTGCGTATATTCTCTCTTTCCTGTTTGTTCAACCGTCGAAAGCAACAACCGCGTGCCCGAGGGATGTGGACTTGCTCCGTATCTATCGCACCTTCTCTTCTATCACTGACATTGTCCCGATTGCGAGATAGAGTCAGGCTGTGCGGAGGTGGGCGTGGGCCCAGTCCCTGACTAGGCCAAGCAGTCCGTTTGGACGCGCCATACACAACCTGGTCTCCATTTCAGTCGTGCCAGGTTACAAAAGGGGCGACTCGATCTCGCATGAGCGAGAATGCCACAAAGTGGTTAGGACACACACCCTCTTCCAGTACTGAAACTGTAGGGTATAGAGTGCCTGCAAGCCATTCTTCCTAAACTCCACCTTACGAACCGTTCTTATTGTAAATAACTGTCCACCCAAATGACGTGTTTGTGATATGAAGTATTCGGAAACTATTTACTAGACCCAACTATGGGCTGCCCACGAGCCAATCTCTGGTTTAAAAAGGCAAATGTCATCAGAGCTTAAAACAGTGTTTTATTTTATGTCATTGGTCACTGCGTGGAGGTTAAGACCAGGGTTCGAGGGTCTTGAGTTAGTCATGTTGCATAAAGTTCTTGCCCCGTAGGCCAAAAAGGTAACCTCCATGTCGTGGAGAATTTCGAGACTTTGGATGCACCCTCTGGTACCGCCTCTTCTCTCTCCTCTCAGGGATCACAGTGAATTCATACTGCGACGGCAGCCACTGTTCCTCCTGATGATGTGGTCCTCGGGCAGACGGGAGTTCGTATCGTTCTCTCAGGTAGTGGCCATATCCATCGTAGCCGCGGTCATATTCATAACTCAGCGCCTGGGCTATCAGGCAGATCAGAATGGCAGATGTTAGTGGTCTCATCTATGGAGAGGACAAAATAGCATAGTAGGCTGGCCTGGCAGATTTTATGTACCAGCAGCTCATTCCGATCGATTATTTGGCGACACCGGATGCACCACTGAGTGCGCAGTTGCAAGCACTCATCTGCGAAATCGAGTGGAAGCTGTGTCTTTAACTCTCTTTACTCAGCCTGCAATTAGACAAGCTTGAGGACGAAGGGAATTTTAGCTAATTTCCGCAGTTAGCAGATGCCGATCAGGGATAGAGCACACACACATCGAATTTGTGGAGGTCGGCCATTCGTCTGCGTCCACAGCGAACGTCTTTAACTTACATGAATGCGGTATCTTCCACTTTCTAAAGGCTCCACAGCTCAACTTACGCATTTATCGTACTACTCGTTCCAGCTTTTAATCGTCATCTGGGATGCTTGAGTTTTCGATAGTAGACGACAGCTGAAACTGTCTACTTCTTCAAGTTGACAATAATTAACCTGCTGGTCAGTTTGAAAACACTTTGGTCTTCCCAGCGTTTTTGAAAAAACCGGCTGATTTAGCAATCTCACCCACCTGTAACGTCGTAGACTGCTTATCAACAAAGTTTGCACCTGGCAGGGCGGTGTCCTCAGCGTGGTCAAGGTCAGTACCCCGGCATCCGGCTGCCAACTCAGCAGGTTCGAATCCGTCCTTATAGCTAAAAAAAGTGCAGTGACAGCTCGACCCTTGCTAGCCATGATTTGTACTCAAATTTGTGAACATTTGTCTGATAAAATGACCTAGAAGCATTTCCTGCAATGGGCCAGGCTATTACATTGAATTCCCAGGTGTAACAAATTGGCCACCTGGATTCCCGTCGTAAAGTTTTGTGAGTTAGGCCACATACTATATGGTTACCGAAGTTTCCTCAACGACATTTGTTCGTTGTTTTTCTTGTTATTCTGGCTCTACGAGTGTACTTTCGATCTAGACATTTAATGCAAAATAACTACATACCTACCGTCATCGTACAGGGAATATACGCCCTATGTCAAACGGCTAAAACTGTCAGTCTCCCCCACCGTACAAATCCAGTGAAGTCGAGAACGGACCCATAGACCATGTCGTGAGAGTTGGGATTTTGATTACTTTTTGTCATTGGTTGTCTTGCATTTTATATTGACCAAACTAGTAAAAAAACCCGGCGCCTGGGTGGGACTCAAAGCCACGACAACAAGGGGAATGTTTTCGTACAGCCAATTTTATATCCACGTGGCCTACGGGGCCCCACTTCGAGACGTGAATTTACTCCCATTTGGGTCAAGTTACCCGCTTACCTACTGCGACGTCTGGAATCCACCAAATCTGATACAATAAGCTGGCTGCCCAAGCAGAATTTCTTAAGTAATCCATCTAGAATCCACCAGGCGCACGTTATTTATAGGTGTTTTGGCAGATTTTGTATAAATCATTTCTATTTGATAGCTTTGATATCCACCTCCATTATTGACTTCAGATAGCCTGTCACACAAAAGGCGTTTCGCCTCTTCATGATTTCCCTATTTTCCTTGGTCTTTCTTGGCACATGTGCATCCCGTTAAACAGTTCCAGTCTTCGTATTTTGTGCTCTGATTTTTATTTAGTTCATTTATTAATCTAGCAATGCATGTCTCCGCATGCGGTGATACTTGCTTGTCCGAGGAAGTTGATAGGTATCCCTTCTTAAGCTGTTGACTAGCAGACACCCCACGCGTGTTAACTGGTAGTCTGCGAAACATGAAGCCCGATTGGCAAGATGTGACTGACTTCAAACTGTAAAAAAAGGTTTTATTTTGTGTCAGTGTTTATTACGAGGAACTAGGACAGGCAGCCTCAGCTTCAGCTCGTCCTGTTGCTGGAAGATGCTGTTTCTAGACTGAAAAAGAGGCAGCCTCGGGACCTCTTGAAATTTTAGTAATGGTGCCTGGGATGCCCGTTGCTTTAGTAATACCTGGGTTCTGGTCGGTAACCGTGACCGTAATCGTTGCCATAACCATGGTCGTGGTAATTGCCATAACCGTGGCCGTATTCGTGGCCATAACCATGGCCGTGGTCATAGCCATAACCGTGGCCGTGTTCGTTGCCGTGACCGTGGCCGTATTCGTAGCCGTGTCCGTGGTGGTAATCGCTGCCGTAACCTTGGCTGTGGTGATGGCTGGAGTGGCCGTAGCCATAGTCGTGGCTCATCACTCCGACAGCCAGAAAGATCAGTGCAGCTAACGTCAGCAGTTGCATATCGTGGAATCAACTTGGTGTCGCAGCCGGGATCCGTATCATTTATATAATGAGGGGATACTTCGATCGATAAGTCGAAACGCACTGGCTGCACTTTAAAGTGCGTTGGTGTCGTGTTTGTTGTTACAATGCCTGCAAAATGCAAATACGCAGTTGCTAAATCTGGCAGACGTCGTGGTACCATCCAAGTTGCCTTGACCTTCTCCGCTTACTCCGTTGCCGCCGGCTACCTGAACCAGTTTAACACTGGTGTCGTCTCTTTTATCTTACTAAGTCCTAGACCCGTTCCTCATAATGCAGTAAGATAAATTTCCACTTCAGCACCATTATTCGAACAAATAAAAAAAATTATAATTCATATACTTTGCATTATTCTTGCTAAAAGGCCGGGTAGTCTTCATGCTATTTCGCAGCCGTATCTGCAGTGGACAAGCGCCAGCCTAACCCGTAAGCACGACCCCTAACCTTAACCCCCCAGCCCCTAACCCTAACCCCAGCCCGTGATCCCAACCCCTAACGCTGACCCCTTACCCCTAACAGGTACGGCTACGATATAGGATCTTGCCTAAAATTTTACTGCATACTGACCCAAGCCATTACGGCTTGCCCATCCGCGCCTGCCACATACATTGAGTGACCGATCTCATAAAATATTGACTAAAATTCTGAAATTCCTTTTGGATAAGGGAGGATTACGTAGGCGCGGTTGTAATACTGATTATATTGTAGCATAATCCTATAATATTTCAGACTCGGCCGGATGTCAGCTTTTGAATGCATTGCCTTTCAATCTCCTGTAGAAACCGTACTCGGTAAAAAATGAGCATGCATTTTCCCCTTTGATTTTCGGTGGTCTTGCAAATTCCAATATATTTTATAGAAACCGCGAACAAAAATATGCTTCCTTTCAGTCGTTTGATAGAGAATCACGTCATCTTTATATTTTATACTCGAAGAGGTACGCCCATATTTCCTAACACTTGTCTTGCAACTGGCGGGCGATGGAAATAATGTCAGTAGTTCCGTTGTGACGTTGGATTCCACACGAGTCTTCCGAGCGAAGTCCCTGTTGAAGATGGCCTTTGAGATGGCTTTGGAGAATATGGGAGAAGATCTTCTAGGCAACATTGAGCAGCGAGATTATCCCATAGTTAGCACATAGTTGCCGGTTTCTCTTCCGTTTGTAGAGATGCGCAATTATCGTGTCCTTGAAGTTCCGAGGAACTTGTTCTTAACGCCTTATATCCTAGAACTGCGTTGTCGGATCCCGGTATTTTCCCGCCATAGATCTGATACACGGCTGTAGTGGTTTCTAGGAGAGAAAGCGAGAGATCCAGGCCGTCGGTCGATTCCACTCGAGGGTTTCGGTCGATGATAACGTCGGGGATTATAGAGGGGCGGTTGGTGACGCTTATGAAGTGCTCGGCTCAGCGCTTCAGAATCTGCGATTTCTCGTCAGAAGTGTTGTTTTATCGGTGTTGAGAAGCGGCGCGATTCCTTCGGTTGTGGGACCATAGACCGCCTTGATGTATGCGAAGAGGTTCTTTGTGTCATTTTGGTTGGCATAACGCTAGATTTCCTCAGCCTCGCAAATCATCTAGGCGCCCTTCACCACGAGATCCAAGTTACTTAGTCAGTTGGAAACCTTATAAGCCACAAATTTTAGTATGCCATGCAGTTGATGTGCTAACTCATGAGATGCTAACTGAAATTCTGAACTGAGTTTTCGACTTGGAAAGATTACTTAAGTAAGGTTGTAGTATTAATCACCGTGCAACATGATCCAACGATAATTCACTTACTTCGGGATGCCGGGTTTTGAACGAACTTCCCAGCAGCGTGCGTAAACTACATTTTTTAAGAAAGGCTATTTAAATGGTATGCATTTTTCTCATTGATTTTCTATGCGCTTATATATTCAAGTATACTTCAATAGATACATGAATAAAAATATACATTCTCTTACTCATGTGGTAAAAAATTGCGTCTTCTTCAAAGTTCATTCTTAAAAGGAAGGGTATAAATTGTTTTTAAAAACTTTTCCGATTCCCGAATAATTTAGTTCATTTACTTCTTACTATGTTCTGCGCATAAGGGCTCAAATTTGCGTTTACTGCTAAACGACTGTATTGCCACTTCCAGTTGTACCTGGCGAGGTTCCATCTTGACTCTGATGGGCGGAGGAAACTTGTATCGGGCCTGGATCGAACCGGCACGGAACGCGTTACCCAGACTGCGCAGAGTATGCTCATCCTATAACAAATGCTATTCACGGGGTGTGTGGTGTACCGCCTAGGCTCTACTTTCACGCCGCGTTAGCCACTTATGTCCAATCCCAACATCCGATGGCTAACTTGCTCAGACAGTGGACCGGTGCACAAAAGGGGGAAGAGGGTTTCGACATTGGGATAATCACTCCCACGGGCCTTCGACCCGTTACTCCCTATAATCTGTCTGATGCGCTTTGACATTATTATGACACTCCAAAAGTTATGGCTTGGAAGGTTGTCCACTGACTGGGCAACTCTGTCCTCGCGGGACGGTGAGTCAGGCTGCAATGGCCCCTTCTGCTCAGATGTGACCCCGGCAACTCCTGCTTTCTCTGAAGACCTGGTCCATTGCGCGGGTTGTGTGTGGCACGTGCTGACGAATTGTTGACTGTTTTCAACCACTGCATCCGAGCGCGTCTCCGGTCGTCCTGACTGCCTTACCACCGGGCACAGATGGGTGAGGGAGGGAGAGCGCGATAGATGCAGCGCAAGTCCACCATCAAGGGAGGCTAATTCACGCATAAGTCACCGTCCTGCGCCTACCGTGATGTGTGGCTCACAGGGGACATCATCGGTCGGGATAGTCGAACTGTCGTATCAGGTGGCATCTTGGCTATCGTGTGGGGAGGCCTACCGTATGACGGGTCCCCGCGTCCTGGGGATGCTTGTCTAACTTCCGGCATTTTCGTTTACTGTTAGAATGGACATTAACTGGGGGCGAGAAGTGCGTTGGCGGAAAAATTAATGCCATGAGAGCAATGCCCGTCAGATCCTTCCACCTCTTAATTCTATGTAGTTCAGACTGCATGGCTGAGTTTTTGTGATCTGTTCTTTTTCCTTTACCTCTGACTACCGTACACAGATTTTTATGACATGCAATTTTTTCGATTGAGACTTTAAAGCGGGTTTCGGATGTTTATGATTATCAAAACGGACTTGTGAGTCAAGATGTCTGTGACCTTTGCCTTGTATGTGTTGATCTTAGTGAATAGGCTGACTTTTAAGAAAACAAGCAGAATAGTCAAAATGTAGTACTTCTGGAAACTTCCTTAAATGAACGGTTGCACAATCTTAGAAAAACAAGTATAAAGGGATTAGGAATCCCCCTCTCGGATGGCTTTGTTTAAAGTCTCACATTTTAATTGTCAAAACACCTTTTGGCAACAGTGCTTGCAGAGTGAGCAAGTCCTCATCTTGTTATCAGTATGAGTAGAGCTGAAGTTAGCGGCTAATAAAAAGACTACTATTTTCATGCTTCATCGGCTACCACGCAGGCATTTCATCTCCCGTTACGGTCCTTTTGTTCCATGACTGTCAACCAGCCAAACACGACTTGCACACACAACCAACAGACCGACGATGGTTACTATGGCGACCAAGCCGCGCCGACAGCACGCGAGGAGCCAATCAACGTCTCTAAGAGCCCCCCATTTCCGCTCGCGCCCCGCCACTGCGACAGTAACACTCAGGAGCAACCTGAGGCGACCAATGAAGAATCTGAAGATGCAGCCAAACAGTGCGGCTGCGGCACAGGTGCGCGGAGTAAAAGGAAGGTAGATGTTGAGAAAATGTACACGGAATATATGGACACTGTGAGGGTTGGCCGGAGAACAGGTAAGTGCGAGTTCCCGCGCTCTCGAGTCTCCATTCTCTCCCCCAAACTCACTGAGAACTTTCAAAGACCGTCTTTTCTTAAAAAAATAGTGTTAATAATGCATTAAAAATGTGAAATGTCATAACCGGAGCGTCTACCAGAAAGCCCACAGAGAACACTGAGGAACCCACTGACAAGCCGAACCCCTCGCAGTTGTGTCATAAATCGGCAAAATATCGGGGAAACACGCGTGCCTGGGTTTTTAACCAATACCTGTGCTGTATTTTGCAATGAATGCAATCTTAAGTAGGCAAATATCTACAAATCTCCATGTCCAACAAACGGCTACAGGTAGTCGTTTGTTTGAATAGCTCGACGATTCGATGCCTGCCGTCGAACTGTTCACCCGGACTGCGCGGGGGTTTAAGGTGACGAGTGTGATGGTTTGTTCTTTTTGACTGGACGCTGCTGAAACTCACGAATACCAATCACAATCGATTGGTGGTTTAGCCTATTTGGCGACTATTTTTGTGATGGAGGTTAGAAAGTGTGGAAGAGCTTTCAACAATAATTAGAGGACCAGGTGTCTCGCAGGTCGTTTAGACTACCTCGGTTTTGTTTAGGGGATTCGATTCGTAAGGGGGACGTTTCCTCACCGATGACGGAAAACAAAGTCCAGTGAACTATAGCTCGCAGCGGCTGCCTGGCAAGGCAAGACCTTCAATTCGCTCTCTTTTCAACACCACATAGCCCCCCCCGCAGTTGCCTTTTTGAAATACAACGTACCCGCGTGGCAGCACTTTGATCTCGAAATAGTTTGACTAGGCGGTTTTAATTTCCCCTGCTAAAGCAAGCACAGGTAAGGAACCAAATAACAGTACGGCGAACATACTTTGCAGTTTCACTGTCCAGCGAGGAGCAATTATGTATCACGCCCTGGCTCACAAAATGCGTATGTTTTGAACATGCAAGTGGGTCTCAAGCTTACTGAAACAAAAACATGAAAGTATGAGCCAACCACACATTAAACCGTCATGCACACTTCCAGTTGATTCCTGCGTGATACGAATGCGCA